TGTAAAAATGGGCGGTTACGCCCCTTTTTTCCCCAGTTTTTAAATATTCAAAAATCTATCTCGTTCACCATTCCCCAGTTTTTCGTCAAACAACTTTTTTCTGACTTAGATAAATCAGTTCTACAACATATCAAAATTTTTTTTTTCTCCAGAGTCTGACTTTAAGTAACTTGGAATTGTACTTACCTGAGTTCAAATTAACAATAATGAAAATGAAATGATAGTTATTATTGTAAATATTACTGATTATATAGTTGCGTGGTATATTAAACCCATCTGAGTTTTACATTTTCCAGTCCCCGACTGACTGGGGACCAGGATATAGGCAATGGTCGTGTAATATATAGTGAAGCAACCAAGGTGGTTTATTGAGATGGTACAGACGTTACATAATATAAGGTGCTCAGGAACTGATATACTGTATTTGATTTCAAGATGTAAAGGCAAGCCTTAGCTGGACCAAGGTAATTCAACAAAAGGACGCACATCTCCGCTCTCGAACATAGCGTGTGCGTACAGTCCTTTGATATTTACTGTGGCATCGACAATCCGATACTAGTTGCGAGTACAGTCGTCAATTATTAGTCTATGCGTGCCATTCGTTTTATGGTGTTAGTTTTTATTTTATTAATTTTGGGTACTTCGCAATGTCTGTTACTTTTGATTTTTTTTTACCGCGAGCTTGTTAAATGCTTCTATAAACTGCAATTTGATTTGTGAAAATTGACCAAGAAAATGAAAAGTTATAGCAATTCAAAATTTACGAATTTTATAAAATTTCATGTTCTTATGTAACATTAATCTGTCATTTTGACAATGTTGGCATAAGGTGCCGAGGACGAACATTTGAGTATATATGGAACATTTATTAATTTTTTCTGCGAAGTGAGTCTCATGAACGACAATTCACCACAATGTTGGTAAAATTAATGTTGAAATGAAGAATATATTTCAGTCTAATGTTAAGATGTTTAATGTTTCAGTCTAATGCAAAATATCATTAGGCCTTTGTAATCACCGCACGACTAACATGGCAACTAACACGCGCGTGTGTAAATCGTCACGTACGCTGACGGTTTATGGTCTGGTTGCTATGGTTTTTGTGACCTTCAGCGTGTAGGGACGCACGTACGCCTAGAATGTCGATGCCAGAGTTATAACCTTTGATGTCCCGAGATGTGCGTCCTTTTGTTGAATTACTTTGGCTGGACTGATTTGACGGCAACATATAAAATTGGACGCTGTCTCATGCTGTACTAGGTTCATTATCTCTTTTATTTTAGAAATTTTGTATCTGAACATTTTATTTTATGGCTGCCATTTAATTAAATATGTTGAAATCTTTACATTATATCTTGATTTGTGTTTAGTTTGTCATGTGTACATAGTACTTCACTGTTTCCTCTCTTTGAACACATGCATTATCACGCAACATCTACAGCGCGTGTTACAGATGGATACCCTCATGATGCTAAGATTTCATTGCTATCATAGATGCAACCTCAATTATGATAGTGGAACAACAGAAGTTAAAATTTTCAACTAGTATATATCTGTCTCTTATACACATCTTATTAATTAGAGATGAAAAAATTAATTATGATTTTAAAAGTATCTTTAAATGCAATCATTCATTTAAAAGGTTAACACATCTTGAGGTCAAAGGATGATGAATAGATAGTCTTTTATTTAAATATTACTGATAATTTCAATTTCAACATCTGTTTGTAATGACAAGTTGACTAATTACTCGAATATGAAGCTCCAAATACAAAAAAAAAAAAATGAAAATTGTATTTGCACCTGTAAAATTGTAGAGCTTTTAGCAAATTATTGACAAATTAAAAATAACTGTATTTTTCATGATACGATTGTTTAGAGCGCTTTAAAATGTTCTACTGCAATGAAACTAAAGGTATTATTACACCAAGTATGCAGCGCCTGAAGTTAGCACCATATATTCCATTTGATTTTTGATCGAATAAATGAATATAGCAATTTCTTCTTTTTATCATGGGGCGGAGGCGGATTGTGTGTGCACAATGTTATGTACTCAGCAAATTTCCAGTTAAGTTATGTTAATTAGTTCTGCACAACTAATGACCATCATGTTTTTTTTATGAACTGCCCACTAGAAAACTCAATCACAACTTCACATTGGCAGAACTTTTCTTATGTGTTACCTCATTACTGGAACAAATTACCACGCATCATTCACATTTCAGCCTCCGTTACAATATTTATGATAATGATTAGGAATTAACTAAGAACATCATTTGAACATCTGTTAATACTGTCCTGGCGGGCCTTGCGCCTTAAATTGCATCACTCTGCAATGGTGTTTTGTTTCATCTGCTGAGTTTTATTTTTTTTTATTTCATTGCTGCAGTATAGCCCCTATTAGTTAAAAAAAAAAATACAAAAAAAAAGGGCAAAAAGCACTCTGATCTTCATTAAATAGAGATATATGTATAGTACTGTAAACATTCTACCTGTTTTGTATAGCATTTATTCCAGTCCAACCAGGAGCGTGTTTAAAGACTATGTAGAAAGCACAAATGAAACAATAGTTTAAACATATAAGAAACTTTTTATTTACTGCAAATATGAAGTTTTTTTTTAAACAGATCAAGCCCATAATGGGCATATGAAGTAATGATAATTTGGAGGTGGTGTACCTAATAACAAGATTTTCATAAAATCAAATTTTCAATATAGGGCTCAAATAATTGTTTAAATACTGTACCAGTTAATTATTCTTGCATTGGTTAAGTTTAGGCTGAATATAAGAAATACAGTAGAACCCCCTCCTTGGGGACATCCCCTTTAAGGGGACACTTTTTCGGCCACAAAACAAGGGAAATTAAATCCTATAATACTATGGCCAAATATATTCATGAGAAACCCCTATCAAAGCGGACACTTTTTTGGTCCTAAAGGTGTCCTCTCAATATGGGTTCTATTGTAATTAAAAACAAAATTTTAAAATAGAAAATATAACAAGTAACAAATGACCTTTAATCGAAAAAACCAAAATGCATCCTCATATATAATTTAAAATTTTAAGAAATAATTTGGGAGTACTGTCCTCTACATGCTAATTTAATTACTAGTGCTATTAGATTTAACTGATGCATAATTAATTCTAAATTATCTATAAATAAATTATATTTCTTCCTAGCTATTGATGAGTTCCCTTGATCGTCACAAGTAACAGATGTTTTTTATTTCAAATTTATCTCTGGAAAATTCTGCGTTATCAGGAAGCAGCTATTGAGATACTGTATTTATTTTCACTTTTACATTAAGTGAATCTACGCAAATGAAATACACATTTGAATGAAAACTTGAACAAAATATTATGAAGATATAAACAATCACTTTGGAAGAAATGTAGTGGTGGCTCCAGGAAAGATCAAATCCAAAAACACACCCCACCCCCACATAGCAGTGGCTCCAACAAATTGCTGACAAGGGGTATGACATGTCCCACGTTAGTCCGAATCGATCATCGGTCCGAGTCCTTAAATATAAAAATCCCTGGTAGGTTCATTGGGAGAGTTTTTATGACTTAGTATGGACCAAATTGTGTTTTTGGACCACAATATTAGGGATTTGCAATCAAAATTTGATTCAATTTTTGATCTGATGACCTTGTCGTGGCATTAGACGACAGGGGGTCTAGATCTGTCCGGTGATAGGACCCCACCACCAACCACTGGCGCCACCACTTCCCCCACATCCAACCCCGATCCAAATTTATGTGATGTGCCCATACACGGTCATGATGATGTCATATTACACCCAAATATGGCATATCACAGTTATTTGTCACCTAAAATAATTGATAGTTAACCACTTTGGACCGGATTTCCTGTTGGACTCCTTTAAGAACATTTCAGTACAAATACTATAAAATAAATATAAAGCATCTATCTGACATCTATTCTTAATGTGTAGAATAAAAGGAAGATCATTTGTATTTGACATTCACCGTGTATCCCATAATGCTCCTTATGTGAGATGAGATCATCATGATTTAATGGCATGTAATCACATTATAACAGAAAACATTTGAAACATTTATCCCACATTTATCTTATCAGAAAACGCATAGGCTGGGATGCAGACACACCCCCATGAAAGAAAATTTGTTCCACTAAGTGGATTAAAATACTAAATATGACCATAAAATTTTCATTGGAATACAGATTGATTTCCATATTTTCACCCCATGCATCATGCCCTTTTGCAACCCCCCTCCCCCAACCCAGATTAAAACCAGCCTATGCCCCGAGACAACTGAAACTTGTTATATTTTTTGTTCGTTTGTAACTACGACAATTTTTTATTCATTATCCTTTCAACATAGTTAGCTGTAATACAGTGCATACCTCCACAGCTAAATGCAGTAGACACTGTTAAACACTATAAATGATCTAATAATACCTCTCAAATAATGCGCCACTATCAATTTATTTATTTGCAAAATGTTGATCTTAAAATAACCATCATGGCGCTTATATATCCTGCCTTGTCACAAAATTAATAATACTAACAATGCAAAAAGTCAGATAGGCTTATGTACTGTACAACACATGATACAATACCAATAGCTCTGCTCTGCAGTAAGTGCCACTCTTAAGATGGTTTTCCACTAGGTGAACTTATCCGCACGAAGTCAAAGCTTTTGACCGTAGGCATGCAGAGTTTCATTTTGATGCGCAAGTCCTTCACCAAATTGTGCACTTCTTCACTGTTGGTGGTGTGCTTTGGAAAATTTTGGAGTTCAAAAAACGCGTACGCGTACAAATGGTATGCCAATCTATCATTGGCAACGTTAAAACAATGTTTGTGAAAATTGTGTATCGCAAAATTTTTCTTTTGTGTAAGGAAGCACTCGCATAAAATTTTCCCTGGCGAAATTTTTCATGTTGCACTATTAAATTCGCCTAGTACAAAACCAATTTAAATTATAATAAGCACCGCACTTGTCTCCCAAAATGTTATATGCTCTGTGGCATTCATTTATTAGGTCATTTACAATACGTAAAAGGCTAGGATGCAACAAAAAAAAAAATGTAAATAATCAAACATCTAAAACCAACAGTAGAGTTAACAAATCCACAAAGCAAACCAATATCACTACAACAAATATATTACAATTAAAATAGAAAACGAAAAAGTAATTAAAGTACTTCTTATGCTAGTTTGCAAACCCCCCCAAAGGTACATCATTTTTCGTCTTTACTTGTGTAGCTGGACTTAGTCCAATAGGCCTACAGTAAACCAATAGTGATTTTGTTTGAATCGTCACTTGTAATTTTTGGTTAATGTTTCAAATGATTTTCCCCAAAACTTTAATACAAGTAAATTTTGTCCTGACTTGCATTTTATTTTTTCCTATAATATATTGATTACCTTTTTAACGTACAGTACATATTAAGTGATTGAAACCTGTCTATACCCGTGATAGTGATTTTGTTTGAATCGTCACTTGTAATTTTTGGTTAATGTTTCAAATGATTTTCACCAAAACTTTAATACAAGTAAATTTTGTCCTGACTTGCATTTTACTTTTTACTATAATATATTGATTACCTTTTCAACGTACACTACATATTAAGTGATTGAAACCTGTCTATACCCGTGATAGTGATATTGTTTGAATCGTCACTTGTAATTTTTGGTTAATGTTTCGAATGATTTTTCCCAAAATTTTAATACCGGTAAATTTTGTCCTGACTAGTAATTGTATGCATTTTACTTTACTATAATATCAATTACCTTATTAATGTACAGTACATATTAAGTGATTAAAACCCGTCTATACTCACACTTAAGCAAATGGAAGTCTATAATATTACGGTAAGCCTTAAATATCAAGGATGCGGGATGGGAAGTAGGTCCCAGCCTTCAAGGCCTATGGTTGACTTCAACATCTATAGTACAGGCATAAAATTAGCGACAGGCAGCAATTTGGGTAGCTGAAATACAGCAATAATGGTGCATTGCACCAAGTAGAAGATGGCTTGAGGGGTGATAGTTGTGAGGTCTTTTCACAAAATAAGATACAATGTTGCCAAGATCATAATGAGATAAAAGTCAATATTTACATGTGTCCTATTGTTGTTAAATACTTCTATACTTATATAGTTTGATGGTACTTTATGATATTTTCTTACTATGAAAAGTTTTTTCATGTCAATTTATATTTTGCAGACTTAATATTGTTTATTATTTTAACCATACAGTACATCTAAATTTTAGTTGGTCATATCTCTGGATCTACTAAAACCAGTTTCCTAAAAGTCATTCAAAACCAAATTGAAGTTTATAATGTATAATGAATAAGTTTATCTATTGTATTTGAATAATTAACATACTGCAAATATTTCTTTAAAAATGACTCATTTTACAGCAAGACCTCACATTTAGGGTTGCTACAAACCCTGTCCACTTCCCCACCCCCACCCCCAAATCCAATTGCCACTCAAAATATATTGAACACATAGGATCTCAACACATATTTCCAATATACAAACTGTAGGCTCGGATATATTGTTATATCTTTCCAATCTCTTTGGCAAGTATTCTACACAAGTTTTAACTTGTACTTTTAGTTTAGTTCTCACATTACATCCCATAATATAAGCTCCATTGTCCAACTGGGCCAAGCATCAGAAACTTCCGTAATATAAATTATTAATTTACTGTTAAAAAACCAAGATATACTATGATAATATTAAAACAGGTCTTTCAAATATTACAGATTTTTATCATAGAACATTGCAAAAAAGATATAAAGCGAATACAGTACAGTATTAACTCAAATTTCAGAACAGAATAAAGAGCACACAAAATTGCTACTGAATTAATCAGCAACTGAGCATTATGGCTTGCATCTCTCCACTTAAGATTTACCCACTGGAAATTGTTTGAGGAATATAAATTTACTCTCAAGTGTTACCCTAGCTAGCGCCCTCACAGGCCCCGCCTTCATGTTATGACCACTAGAAACGCCATTGCCAGTACAAGGTACTGTAGTTCTTTCATGTTGCATAATGTACAATAATATTTCATAATTATGGAAAGCTTGACATTGTTTTATATAAAAAACAGTAAGTACATTACAGAACATTATCATAAAGACTTAGAGAGCTTCATACGATGCAGCCCGATGCAATGTGTTGTCGCGTTGTAGAATATTAAACATGTTTAACATTTCTCACGACAGCTTAAGACCAGCCACGACGATAAATTGCGTTGGGCTGCGTCGTACGACGCTGTATGAGTTGGTCTTTAGACGATTGTAAATAGAATCAAAGATGTTAGTAACTTAAGGCTGAACATTTCTGAACGAATTTTTATACCTGATGTATTTCTGAACTGGCCAATCCAAATAGGAAGAACAAAAAGTCATTAAAAGTCTTCACAGAATTATAAAAGTACCATCCATTTGCATACATCAACTAATCCCAAAACTCATTACCAGCAAAAAAATGTATTAAAGACAGGCTCTGGAGGAAAACAATTTTTTGATATGTTGCAGAACTGATTTTTCTAAGACAAAAATCATATTGTACACAAAAAACTTGGTAAGACATACAGTAGATTTTTTAATATTTAAAATATGGGGGGGGGGGGGGGAAAAGGGGCATAGAAAGGGGCATAACCACCCTTTTTTCCCAGTTTTAAATATTCAAAAATCTGCATCTCATTAAACCGCTTCAAATTTTTCATCAAAACTGCTTTTTGTGTCTTTTAAAAAATCAGTTGTACAACATATCGATCATCTTTCTTCTCTGGAGCCTGGCTTTAAAGATTATTCTGTGCAGTTATCTTCATAAATCATCACAAATCCCTCTACAACCCAGTGCCAACACCATCTCTCAGATGTTGATGCCACACCCTGGCCTGGATGACTGATAGGCTAAGACCAGCTAACAGGATGTTTTAACATGTTGTTCCTGTTTGCTGCCATCCTATGGTAATTGATGACCCAGCCCCCTCTGATATGTAGTAGTAATCTCAGTCTGGCTTTAGTATGCTTTCTTTTGGGACATATTCTATCTTCAGGACCTGTAAAAAAATAAGTATTGATTTATTATTTTCACACAAACTTTCTTTATACCAACCTTCCACAGCTGAGTCCAAAGCATATCTATTTGAAAAGCAGTGGTACAGTCGAGTTCGCATAAGTCGAATCTAATGGGACTGGCATAAAAAGTTCGAGTTATACAGATTTCGACTTGCACATTTTCGAAAAAAAAAAAAATATTAACATAGAACAATACTATATGTACTCAATGCCCACAAAATCGAATTTCACGCAAAACCGAACATTTTCTTAAGTCCCAAACTCATTCCTATTCTTCTTTTAATAAAATACATTCCGAAAACATGAACTCCCTATTCCAAATCTCGACGATTTGTCAAATTCAGGACGGTAACACCCACTCGAAAAACCAGACGATAGTTTAACAACATCGTTCAACGACAAGCATACCAGACGCTTAGCTATACTCGCATTGCCATGGAGATTATCTGTTAATTAACACGACACACCAGTAGACGTTTTCTTGGTTAATTATAATGAAGTGAAATTTACGCATTCCAATGTTTTAATAAGTGTATATTCTTTAATCCTTAAAAACCATTTGGAATCAACCTGCAATAAAGACGGAACTCAACAAAGCAAGTTTCTACTGGTTACCGGTACTCTTTTCAGTAGACGTCTAGAATTCAAATTCGTTAGATTCGTCGGTGTGAATTTCAAATGCACCTCATTCATTCTTTAAACTCAAGACGCTTTTCAAAACATGTTGCTAATTTAATTACGGAAGAAATTTGTAGAGAATAAAATATAATTTGTTAGGTTTATTTAGATTGGACTCTAAAATATACCATGAGGGTTTCTTGTTTTTTGTTTTGTTTTATAAATTTGTTTAATTAAAAAATTCTTGATTACACCGAGCTTGTTACTGTCACGCACTATGAAACTTTGGGCGATCTGACGTCATCACAGCCGAAGCATATGTCTAGTCTGCAAAACACACAACGAAAATGGACCAATTGGCGGGCAGGCAGAGTTTTTGGGGGCGCGACATGTTCTGTTTACAACTAGACTGCCGACCAGCAAGTGGCATTGCCCAACGAAGAATGTGTGCTTGGAAAAACATAATCAGACCTAAAGAAAGGCACGCAAAAACAATATAAAAGTCGCATCAGTTTTATTGGTAATAATTAAATTTGCTGAGCAGTACAGCAAAACAACAGGTACTGTACGTATTATTAAATAATGTTTTGAAATTGGAGCCGGTCCGGAGGGGTGTCTGCATTGTGAGAGTAGACTGCAACTTACGACATACGATCATGTGAGCCAAGTTCCACAGCTCGCTGTCTAAGATGTTAGTTTGACATGGCTAACTTGTTGCCGTACAACAAGGATTGAACTTCGTATTTTCCCACGGCTGTGTATTTTTCTCACGTGCGCTACTAAATTTGGAACTTCGACTTGTGTGGTTGAAATTACTTTAAAATCGGCCTATCCGGACCGGAAAATTCCGTCGATATAGTCAAAATTCGACTTATAAAAATTTGAATTAAACAAACAATTTACACAGTAATACATAGGAAAGAATTGGGACTTTTTCAAAAATTCGACCGACTGGAATTTTCGACTTAAACAGAGTCGACTTTGGCGGACTCGACTGTAGTAACAAAATTTGCCGAAACATGGATCCAAATATCTTGCATTTGTATGAGTGACCAAGGTCTACCCAGGACTCCTCAGAGGAAATCAAGGGGTTTCAAATTGAATGGCTTGATCAAATTTACCGTCACATAATCTGTAAAGATTACAGAGAATTTTTGTTTTCTTCTCTAGACAACATGGGCCCCTTCCTCTCCCAACCACCACTGGTGCTGTAAAGCTATCTTACAGTTGATTATGGGAAATTTCAAAATGTATCATAAGTGTAAAATCATCCTCTTGTATACATAAACCTTAGGCCCTTGTTACCGTGAATATTCTTGTACAGAGACACTGTAATGTCTTTAAAAGATACTGCATAGATCTATAAAAAAATTAGGGCAATCCCCAAACAAATCAAGTGCAAACACAACACTTCAACAACATCTACCGTATTGGTATTCTGAGACGGATATCTTTCTCAGTCTCAACTGGATTGAAATTGCCATAATTTTGCCAACTCAAAATTCTTTCTTTTGAAATAGTGTACATTTACACAGCAGTACAATGAATAATTGATTGTGTTTGAAGAACTTGTGATGAGTTTTCTATTTTAACAGGCATTCCGCAAAGAAATAAAAAGATATGAGAGACAGTTAAGGTTCATTAATATTTTTATTCGTATTCCATGACAAAAATTTTTAAAAACAAGATGATTGTGATTTTGTGATTGTTCCTTGCCGTTTCTATTTATGTACATTCTAATTGTTTCAGACAAATAAATGAAATGAAATGAAAATGATCATGCAGATCATGTATATATATATATATATTTTAATATATATATATATATATATATATATATATATATTTTTAAAATTTGCAGTTAAGTTTTTGCTCTCTTTGTTATTTTCTGCTTTTAAAATGTTTTTGTAGATAAGAACTGAACCACTTTGGAAATCAGTACTATGTATTGAAAGTGTATATTCAGTATAAAGAAAGAATAAATAAATAAATAAAAATAAAGACAATCAGATAAATTTGAGCTCATTTCTTATACCAGATTCAAGATCAGAATCAGGATAGTTCATAACATTGCAATTTTAATAACTACAGTACCGCCACGAATTATTGCAATTTTACCTGCGCGTAGGCTTCGTAGATACATCGTAGCCTGATATAAACAATCTAAGCAAGGCTACACAAAGCGAACCTATGAACCAAAAGCATGTTGTGTATTTGTATATGTGCAGAAAGACTGCTGTAGCTTACTGGAATAAACAACGTATTGCTTGATATTGTGAATGACGAACATGAGTTTAGACCGTTAATTTAAAGTATGGAGCTGTTTTTCAATAAGAAAAACGTACACTTGACTTCATGGGAGTCTCCTCTTCCACTCGCTGTCCACAACAGGAACATGTATGTACTGCTCTATTATTTTTTTTAATTAATTAGCCTAGGCCTAGCTTATTTTTTATTTACAATTATTTTACCTCCAAATGTCAAAAAATGATGTCCTCAATGACAATACACAAATGTGAAAAGATTGTTCATCAAATAACATTTTGTAGTCTTGATTTAGTAAGATAAATAATGAATATAAAGGAGATTTAACGTCCGTTGGTTGTAAAATTACCAAATGTCACATGGAAAACCCAATGGTAAATAAAACTTAGCCAGCATCGGACGTCAGAGTGCGCGCCAATCAGAACACAGTAAAGTGTGTTAAAGGTTAACCTCGTGGCAAATGTTGAAAAGCTGTGAGCGACATTGAGTAAAAAACGAAGTAAATGCGGTCTAGTATGACTAGCCTTAATACGGCAAGGTAGCGATTTCTATATTTGCAGGTTCTGCTTCAAATTACGGTAAACAATAAACAACGTGATCTGTAGAAATCGTAATAATTTGTACGATTTGTCAACAGTATTATTATTTAAAAGAAGAAAATTCCTACTACCAGAACAATAATATCTGATCAAAATTCTCCGAATTGGAAAGTTTACCAGTATAATTTCTGTCTGCTCTCCTCCTCTATAGGGGAAAATGTAGGCCGTACGTAGGCCTAATGACATTGAAATTCGAACTTACTGAATGCCCACTAGGTTACCTAGCTAGCGAACTAAACACAGTTTTAAAACATGATCTATCTAATAATAAGGTAGGATATAACAAAACAAAGTTCTAACATTGTTTATTAGTAAATTGCAACATTGCTCATGTGTTGAAAGCTGGTAAACTATATTTCAATATTGTTTACGCATTGTTTATCAGCCTAATGATCCAGCCTATGATCATTGCAAAGCTAATTAAAATAACAATGACCTTCGTAGTGGTTCGTAGCTACGTTCAAAACGTACCTACAAGCAGATTACGAGAGGTTACGCACAGATACGAAGCGATAATTTGTGTCTGTACTGTAAATCATCAAATTATTTGCAAATCCCAAAGGTAAATATAATATCCTAGAAACATCTATTTTAGTCTCTTAGTATGAAATTTGATTAAGGTGGTTTGGTGCAGCGGGAACGGTTTGGTTTCCAAACCTCGAGTTTGGATTTAAATATTATGGGAAAATAAGATTTTGATGAACATTTAAAAACTCATAAAACAGTAAATGAAAGATTAGCCTCCCATTTAGCTCCGTTTTTAGCCAGATGTAAAAAAAACAAAATTGTAATTCCGACCATGGAACAAGGGATTGTCCAACATACTGTACAAAAATCGTCTTATACGAGGGTCTCTGTATACACGAGTACATACGGTACGTGGATCCAACAAATATGGTCTTAACATCCTACATAAATTTTAGGGCTCCTTTAATATAAACATTTTTGATGGAATGTCTCTAAAAATGGAAACATAGTGAAGCTATTTCTGTGTTCTTAATTTCAGATGTATAGGGAAGGAAATTGAGGGCAAACTGATCACTACATGATCAAATTATTGTTCTCAAGTTCCTACGGAAACTGGGCCAAATTACAAACATATGGAAATGAAGAAAATTTCATAAAACTTAATACATACGGAAAAACCAAAAATATACTTATAATAATTATATGCTTCTTCGTTTTGTTTATTATTTGATTTAATAGTAGTTTCTAAAGCTCTATTCAAAAAGCTATTTTAGTCCATATAGTCATGATGTGCCTATATATGGTCATGATGTGCCTATATATGGTCATGATGTGCCTATATATGGTCATGATGTGCCTATATATGGTCATGATGTGCCTATATATGGTCATGATGTGATGCTATGATAACTATATTTAGGCATGAGACATGGTTTTGTCAAAAAAGACTTGATAGCCTGGACAGAGCTTAAAACAACTTTTGAAAAAAAATTGATTGAAGGCAGACCAATATTTTAAAAATCTTTTCAGCCTACAGAAAACAAAAAAACCAAACCAACTACTGTAAAGAGGCATTGAACTGAGGAACCATTTCTAGAAAAGGTACCTGTCTCTTATACACATCTAGATGTGTATAAGAGACAGCAGTAAAGTGTGTTAAAGGTTAACCTCGTGGCAAATGTTGAAAAGCTGTGAGCAACAGTGAGTAAAAAACAGAGTAAATGCGGTCTAGCATGACTAGCCTTAATTCGGCAAGGTAGTGATTTCTATACTTCCATTTAGTATTGGATCGCTTTCCAGGTTGTTCTGCTTCAAATTACGGTAAACAATAAACAACGTGATCTGTAGAAATCGTAATAATTTGTAC